GGTTTAATACAGATATAAGTAAAGTTGTATGACTAAGATCAAATTACAATGGCGTATGTACAGTAACACCTTAATAATAAATAAACGGCAATAAATGTGAATTATGTGAAAAAATTTGTGAAACAAGCAAACTTAAAAAAGTTAGAAAGTTATGACCGTGATATTTAAACTTGAGAAAATTTTCATTTTGTATAAATGATTTTTATGTAAAAATCACCTAAAATGTACTAAAGCAGTCAATATAGTTTTCTTATTAAAGTTTTGTTTCATTCCTATTTCCATTTAATTCAGGCGAGTCTCTCTCCAATTAACCTATAGTAATAGGGAATAGATGAACCACATGAATATTTATTCGTTTATGCGTCTTTTACATTTATAGTATTAATTATTGTTAGTATATGTCAGTAGCATACTTTAGTGATATTTTTTCATTAACATTGCTATAAATAAGAAAAATATAGCAATTTTTAAAAAGATGGTCAATTTCTAACAGTTTTACAATATTGTATGTAATGATTATCTATATATTTTTAGATCTACAAAGCAATTTAATAAAAAGCAATCTGCTTAAATTTTAGCATTAAGCAAATGTATTTCGAGCGACAAAAGCTAGTTTATAAAATTTTTTTTCCTCTTAATTTTTAAAGTTTTTAGTTTTATCATACCATCTGATATATCAATCATTTGGTTTCTCTCCCAATATGCATAATATAACAAGAAACTACTGTATTTTTTTTATCTTATCTTCTTTTTATCATATACATGTAAAGCTATATCCAGTATCTTGGCTCAGAAAACCAATACAGTAGACCTGCGGTAATCTGACAAATGTTTTGCAAGGCAGTGTCGGATGATCGAATTTGTCGGATTATAAAGTACTGCCACTGACCCCTTGTAGTTCAGAACTTTTTTGAAAAGGAGTACCTTGTAATCTGACAAATTACATACTTATAAAAAATGGTAAGATCAAATCTATATATACTACATAATATACGATATGGAACTTAGTGAATTAAACAACACAATAGATAGCATAGGGTTTATTATAAAATTAATGTCATTAATGCTATAGCACGTGCAAAAAAATAATAACTACAGTATAACCTCGAAAACTCGGCCTAATGTGGACCGAAGGGTGGCCGAGTTTGTGAAAATGCCGGGTTATCGGGAATGGGGTTAAAAAAAATAAGTACGAGTGTTTCCTCAGAAAATACTGTACTGTACTTGTATGTATTGTTTACTTGAGAATATAACAGAGAATAAACTGCCCAAATACCCTTAAACAAAGGAAAAGTAC